TGGATAGTCAAGCCAAGCAAATGCGATGAAGCGACATGCTCGCCGATCGCATTTGCTTTCTCCTGTGGGGTAATTAAAAGCCGATCGTCATCATTTTCGACTTTGAGAGGTGGAACGGGTTTGGGATGATTTTTCAGGACCTTGGCTACCTTCCAGAATGGTCTGGAGCGGTCATCCAGATTCTGGACAACATGCCCGAAACTTTCATTTCGGAGTGAGTCCATTCTGGAAGCAATCTGCCTATTCAGATCGGCCATTTCACGTTTTTTGCCCAGATCTCCAGTCCTCTGAAACTGGCGTCTACGAACATTTCTCAACCGAATCAGTAATTGGATGTGGGAATCAATAGCAACAAACTTACCCCTCACAGGAACTTGTCGAACGTATGCCTCGTCAGCCATGGATATGGCCTGTTGGAGCCCTTCCAACGTCCGGTCGATGTCATCTACGGTGTTGAGTAGTGGATTTTCATCGATGTTGCTGTCCACCATTCGTCCGTACTGCACCCAGTTGACATGGTGGTAGTCTTTACGCAGGCAGCTTCTAGCAGGAACCACATTGACACCGACTTCAGTCACCACCGGTTGGTGGTCGGAGCTGAGATCGTTGTGCGCCTCCGGCTTGGATAGTCCGATGTTTGACAGGAAAAAGTCCAGCGTGGAGGGATTTCCCGCCGGAGAGATGAAAGTTGGTTCGTCCGGAAATTGCACAGTGTACAGACCATGTTGTGCGTGGTCGAACAATAGACATCCGTTCCGGTTTCTCTGGTAGTTCCTCCAAGCTTCATGGCGGGCGTCCAGGTCGCCCCCAACGATGAATCGGGAGCTAGTACGGGTGATGGCGGTCAGGTCCTTCTTGAATTGGATTCCTAATCCGTTGCTTGCGGTACACTGGCGTGGGCAGTAAACAGCGATGAACCGGACGTTTCCAGTTGGTGATTCCACCTCCACACTAATGGCCTCGATGATAGAAGTGCGGATGTGGGGCAGAGTGCAAAACTTGATTCCCTTTCTGACGATGACCGCTACACCCCCCCCCCCCCCCTGGAGCTGGTGCGATCAAGCCGGATAATGTTGTGGTCAGGCAACCAGAAGCTGTCACCGGACTTTAGGTGGGCCTCGGTTAGAAGAACCACGTCGATGCTATGCTTGCGGAGGAAGTCGGCAAGCTCAATCTGTTTTGCTCTTACAGAGAAAGCGTTCCAAGTAGCGATGGTTAGCGGTTTAGACACCATACTGGATGATGAACTTACCGAGCACTTGGATCTGTTCGGGCTTATTGCGGCACTTACGTAGAGCACCGGTCATGTTGACGAAAATTTCCATCAGTTCATCCGCTGAAAACAGATCGGGGTTGTTGTTTTGCGCTGGTGGTTGTCTCCATAATCCAGGGGGGATGGAGAGCTTTGGCCAGAAGAATCACCAGAAGTTGCTTGAGCGGGATGCACCCACGAATTCGCTTGCCTTCGCTGAGGAGCACGAAGAGGCAGGAAATCCTCCGTCCGAAATGCCGGGACTTTGTCCTTCTTGCCGCCTGTTTTCGGATGCGTTTGAAGTCCTCGCGTTTGGAGCACTGTCTGTCGGAACCTTGGTGAGCACCACCACAGTTGGCGCATTTTAACGCCACGGCTTCATCCGCAGGGCAGTCGGAAGTGGCGTGGTATGAGCAAAAGCATGACAGCAGCGCTGTTTTATATCTTTTCAGGTTCAGAACCTGATAGGATTTCCCGCAGTTTTTTATGAATGGGGCGGAGCAGAAAGTTTCTTTTGTGCAGAATATGTAAAATATTATGGACTTTGGATGTTAATATAATTGCATATATAGAGGCACCAGATATGTTTTACCGTCAGTTGTGTGTAATTCACTGAATGTCATCAAACATGTCTTCAAAGCAATTTTTTGTTCAAATTTGGTAAAACTTGGTTTTACTAATGATTGTGGTTTGTTTAAAATTTATTTCCCGGAAAAAAGGGATCGTCAAAGTCTGTCTCGCTTTCGGGTTATTGTTGAGGGGGGGTTAGGAGAGGTATTTGAGGGGGGGGGGGTAGGAGGGGTTTGATGGTGGGGAGAGGGGTAGGAGAGGTTTGATGGTGGGGGGGGGGCGTAGGAGAGGTTGTTGAGGGGGGGGGAGGGCCGAGAGATTGTTGTGAAGGGCGGAGGGGGTTTACATTATTGCTTTTCCTCATTGTGGTCACGCCGTGATCCACCTTAAGCCGCTGATTTGGTCCTGCTTGCTGCAGGACCAAGCACCACGCCGTCCGAAGCGTTAATGAGCAGTGGCATGAGAGCAGCGCTGATTTATATCTTTTCAGGTTCAAGCAGAATGATGTGCAACCAAGTGGTATTCGTTTATGATGACTGGGTTTGAGAAAAAGGCTTATTTCATGAAATCAGTGATAAAATTATCATTTGTACATTTTCAAAAGTTTAATTACAGAAAAATTGGAAAAATATTTATTTCAACAGGTTCGTAATGTAATATCCTATGGATTGGCGTATTTGGATTTTAATTTCATCTATAAATGACAAAGTTACAAGCGTTCAAAACCTAACACTCCTTCACCACACATATTTTTTGACTTGCACCCCAGTATAGTCGACAAAGACGTAGTTCTACGTCAAAATAAAATGATCAGACCTACTCGGTGTGGCTAGTGACGTAAGATGCATTCCTGTTACCAGTGAAGAAACTTTAGTCATTTTGTTTGACGCAATTCCTTTTGATTTGATGACGGCTGTTAGCTTACCAGTAAACAAAGAGTCACTAATTACAGAATAGGCCCGATTAATTCTATTTTCATACAATTAACTCAAACTTCTTTAAAACGAATCAATAGCCTGTGAATTAAATAAACTCTATGAATGATCACTGATTTTACATATTTTATGTATTTGCCAATTATAATTCTAATTACATTAATTTCGTTGTGTCTTATAATTAATTAGTTTTTATAATAAACCTATCCAAAGTTATCATATTTTCCTGAAAAAGTATTTGCCTTTTACTCCTGTTGATTACAGTTTGTGAGTCGAAGAGTCAACTGGATATTTTTATATTTCAAAAGCGTAATTACAGAAATAAATATTATTGTATGCCATTCGACTAAACTTCCAGTAAAAGTTCTGTGTTATGTCCAATGTCCAGATTAAGGTCTGTAGTTACTTCATTAAGGAAATTTTCAGCCGGAAACAGATATGTCTCTTATAACTGGTACCTAATGTTTTGTATTTTTAGACTATCCAGTATTTTACGACCGCTTATGGCCGCCACAATCTGGCTGATTTTCTGGTAGGGAACCCTGGTAATCAAAATTTGTTGGTTTTCTAAAATTGCTTGTTTATCGATTTGACAAAAAAATATTTAATAAACTTTTGTATGTGTAACCATGTGACATATTTAATTGAACAAATAGAACAAATAATCATTCCAACGAGAAATTAGAATATCTGGACATCAGAAGTTCATTCGAAAGATTCCAAGTCCATTGGAAGCTAAAATAATAATATTTATTTAGTGAAAAATACGACTTGGGTTTGATGATGCTCAGATTGAATTCAAGTTGCTTAAAAAAATATATATATTATTGATCGTAATTAATAAATATAAAAAATCATGTAAAATACATTCCCTTTATTTGTAAAATCTGTATATTTTTCAAAAATCTGTTATCTATATAGGTATACAGATATCTGTATCAAATTATTGAAAAAATCTGTATGATTACTGTAATCTGTGTATGTGGCATCACATGTAGTCACCTTGCATACAACCACAAACGAAGTGACAGACGACTTACTGGCGAAGAAATCCATTTAAATAATGTGGTTCACTGTAATAGAATCACAAACGAAGTGACAGACGACTTACTGGCGAAGAAATCCATTTAAATAATGTGGTTCACTGTAATAGAATTTTCTTGGAAGCTTGTGCCATCATCCACCAGATGGGTTAGTTTTTTTGTTTTGATTTGAACAAAGTTGATTTTGTGTACAATGATTCTTTGACAGTGTGCAAAGAGTGCGTATCATTTTGTCATGTTTTTATGCATTTCAGTTTTGAGTAGAGTGAAAGAGATAGAACCAAAATATTCTAGTACATTTGGTGAAAATGCTAGTTCAATCCAATAGTAGTGTTGCCATGTGGTACAATCCAGTAGTTGTGGTGTTGCCATGTGGTACACTGAAAAATTGCAATAGAAGGTTAGTCACCAAAGTTTTCGAGCCGCTCCGTCTGTCACTTCGTTTGTGATACAACTAAGTAAAAATTACTCTCTCTCTTTCTCTGAGAGCAACCGTAACGGTACGCTGCTAAATTCATTTTTGCAGCCCTCATCATAGCGCAAATACCGTATCGGGGGTTGCCATACGAGTAACTAAAATAGCAGCCGGTTTCGCGGTGAGAAGCGCGTTACCAAATTTAGCAGCGCGGGAGAAAGGTTGCTATTCGTAGAATTGTCAAAATGCTCACTACCGGTACGGACTACGGCGACCGCGATAGCAGCGACCGGTGTGGAGAAGAGTGACTAAACTAAAATGAGAGCGCTGTGCGCTGTTAAAACAGTCGCGCAAATGACAACAACCGTTACGGTTGCTCTGAGTTATTCTCAGTGGCCGTGTTCTGGCTTTTTTGCCCGCCTTCAAAACGCCTTCTAAAACACGAGCGGAGCGGGACAAAAACGAACAACAGTTCAGTGCCAACATTTCAATAGAACGAAACTGTTTTGTAAGCAATGACTTCAACAACTGATTAATTTCTAGCAAAGTAAAGCTCGCTCTTGCACATTAACGATAACAGCTGGTAGCGGAAACATTTATCTACCTGATAGTGATGTTTTTTTTCGCATGTATTTTTATTCGTGAGAAATCGACGGCTAAAGCCATTATTTACCTAAGCAATTTCGCTCTTTTGAAATGTTGGCACTGCGTTTGTATCAGTGATTGCTTGCTACTGTCAAAAATGAAACCGTTCCGCTTGCGAGATGTATCGTGATTTTTCGAAGTGATTTTTAATAAATCTGTTAATATTGCATTTGGACGAGATAAATCGCCGAGCAGGATCAACATGGCTTCAACCTGCCGCATTTGTCAACAAACGGGAGTGAAGGGATTAATTCCCCTCTCCCACACCGTCAGTACACAGCGAAAGCCAGTATTCGATATGCTCATTGCGGTTGGCGGCTCGAGTACCTCGAAAGTAAGTGTTGTTTGATAGTTCTAGTTTTGAAATAGAACACTAGCTTCTTTCCTTCAGGTGGAAGAATACGACCGTATACCTCAACACGTGTGCAGCGGGTGCCTCGAACAGTTGGAACAATCGTATTCCTTACGCATGCTGTGCCGTAGTTCTTTGCGAAAGCTTTTACTACATCCGCTAGGAGGAACTTCTCAAAGTTGTCTTATATGCTACGGTAAAAAGGAATTGTTTGCGGTCAATGGCGTTCATGAGAGATGGAAGATAAAGATAAGCGACATGATTGAACAATTGATCGGCGTAGAACTGATCAAGGAGCGTTCTCAAAAATACGCTTGCAAAAGCTGTTCAATCAAACTATATGCATGGTACGAATTCAAGGGAAAGTGTCTCAGATCGGAGGCAAATTGGTTGGAAAATGTGATTTATCCATGGGAAAGAATGAAGGTTGATGATAATAATCCGGAACACTTAGTAGCAGATCTATACGCGAAGGTGGTGCAAGATGGCGAAGGAAAAGCACACTGTTCAATTTGCCTGCTAAGCGTTGATCTGAAACAACTAGGTGAGAAATGCGAAGGTTGTATGCTCGAGTTTAGAAATTGCGATGAAATGCAAGCGAATGAAGTATCTTCACCTGCTGAAGACGAAAGTAGTGCCTTTTGTCCTTTGGAAATGAGCTGTGACGAAGAAGAGGTAACTTTGTGTTGATGGAACGGTTTCTTTGAAGCGACAAACATTATTGTTTTTATATTTTACAGATCAATCCTCAAGAACTGGACGCGCTCCCAGAAGAAGATGACGATGAGCGCTTAGAAGTAAATACAACAGGCAGTGGGATATTAATATACTAATCATTTGTATTCTAATAGGTAGCAAAGTTGAATACCGAATATTTGGGATATGTTGAAGAACCTGAAAAGGTATTTGACATAATCGAGGAGTACCCCGATGATCCGTTTCCAACGGTCTTGCGTAAAGGACCATGGTGCTGCAAATGTATCAAATTTTTTGCTACCAAATCTGACATGGCCGATCACCAAACTCAGAATCACCCACCTTCAACTTGTAGTGGAACATTACCTTGTGATTTTTGTGAAAGTTCCGCAAATAAGTTAGCGTTGGCACATCATAGAAAAAGTATGGATACTTTCGTGTTCGACTTTTGTAGATCTTGTCAAATAGTTTTCGAATATCCGAAATTATTTCGACAGCATAAGGCCAAGTATCATATGGACTTCAAATCAGTCAGGACAGCGGAATCAAATTTTGATACGGAGGTTGTCTTTTACTACGACTGCTGTGTGTCCCATTGTGCAAATCGCTATTCATCGGAAGAACGGCTACTGAAGCACTGTGCAGTTGCACACGGAGAGTCGAAAGAGCCGGTGCCTGAAAATATGTGCCAATATTGCAAGGTTGTGTTTATCAGCCAATCAAATTTGCAAAATCACTGGAGGAACGAAAAAAATTTATATAAATGCCGAGTCGAAGCTTGTAACTTCATGCGCATAGACAAGAAAACCATCTGGCTACACTGTAGTCGACAGCCTCACTCTAGATATGCGCGTAAGAAAAATATGGAAACGAAGATCCTTGCCCCGGATATGAAACATTTTACAGTAATTGGCGAACTGGACAATAATACGTACATTCTGCAGCGTCAATGCCTGCTTTGCTGTAGATGTTTTCTCCTTTTTGAAACCAAAGAGGAATTGGCAGCACATTGCGAACTACACAGGGTTGAAGGTACATAGTTGAATATCTAAAGTACTTCGTTCATAATTAACGACACGTCTTATTTTTTTTTAGACGGTCAACCCTTTCATTGTCAGATATGTAGCCGAGGTTACGAATCAAAATCGGGGTATGGCAAACATTCAGTTTTGCAGGAAAATCCCATCCATTATTATTGCCGTACCTGCAAAATGATTCTGTGGCGAAAAGTCGATCATGTGAACCACAAAGTTGCGGCTCATCTCTACGATGATGATCTGAGCGATCAAATCGAAACAGTGGAAGACCATTTCTTCACATGCTGCGGTTGCTGGAAACCATTCGAAACGGAAGAAGAACTTGTTGAACATCGTTGGAAATATCACCCACCATTGAATCGTAGCCCGAGGAAACCGAAATGCGATTATTGCCATAAATTCATGGATACCACGGAACAGTTAGAGCAACACATAACCTTCTATGAAAGTAAAATGTCTCACAGATGCAAGGTAAGCTGCAAAACAGTCTCCATGCTTTTTTAAAACACACAATCCTTTCCCGAATTTTCAGGTGGCTGGATGTATTTTTCAAACAAAGAACATGAATCGCATTAGAAGGCACATTTTGTTCGGACTCCACAAGGACGAGACAGGTGCTACAATTACTATCAAGAGCCCAACCGATTATCGTTGCTGTGTTTACATGTGTGGCTTCCGCTGTATTGATTATGATGCGATGATCGAGCATGGCAAGGCGGTGCATACGAATATGCGCTATCGATTGTCTATTGACTATAGTGGCTGGCAGTTCACATGTCCAGTGTGTTGCAAAGGGTTCCCTAAACAAACTTCCCTGATATCTCACAAGCTTGGCAACAAATACTACCGTTGCCGAGGTTGCCAGAAATACTTCCGACGAAATATGTACCTTACACATTCACAGGAATGTACAGCACGTTTGAAATGTAGGCATTGCGATCAAGTGATGTCATCGAAGCATACGCTGCGAAAGCACCTACACCAAATCCATTCCGTGAAAAATGGATTCGATGCTGGCGCTACCATGCACATTTGTAGCATTTGTGGAAAACAGCGGACCAATATTCAACAACACATGAAGTCACATGCTAAGAAGCGAATCTATAAATGTTCAACCTGTGGCGAGGGTTTCTTTAAATACGCAATGCTGACACTTCATAAGCGAACGCATCAACATCAACGAGATTTCCCCTGTCGACATGGTTGCGCAAAGCGTTACAAGGCTTCCGGCGATCGAGACAGACACGAGAAATCAGTCCATCTAGGGATCAAACCCTTCGTTTGTAATCTTTGTCCGGAGTCGTTCGTACGCGACCGGGATCTACGACTGCACCAAAGGAAACATACTGGCATGAAGCTTTATCCTTGCTCTTACTGTTTGGCCAGCTTCGACAAGGTAGGTGAATACGAGGATCACTGCATGACCTGCGTGGAGTCGATTGAGTAGAAATTCCGATATTGTTTTTAATAGAGCTCCTACCGTTTATGAAGATGGTATTTCTCTGCTGTTAGTGATTATCACATCCCAAACTTCGCGAAGTTGGTCGTACATCGGGCACTTGACCGAAAGCAATTTTGTTCAGTGAATTTGAAGACGGTTCCAAAAACATGTGGATGCCTCATTTGAACACGCTAACCATCGCGATCTCTCGAGTTCCGGGTCCTTCCGAGTTCTCAACTCCCATCTCCGGACTAGACCCAGTATGTTGATTCAGAATTGGATGCCGCGTTATGAATTGGACCGCTATAAACCAGAACACACTGCCTGTTGCATAATGGGAGACCACGAACCAGTCACGCCAGATGTTTCCCGCCATCAAAGTCGTTCTATTTCCTGCCATCAGAGCCGTCCTGGCCCTGCGGTCGAGTTCAGGGGTGGGGTCTCTCAACCATCGTCTTCAGACAAGTATACATACATTAGTTGTTACAGTAATTTGCCCGACCAGCTTCCGTGTTTCAGTGCAACGCCTCTGCCGGCTGATTCTAGTTGAGAATCACTTCTGATACTGCTCATTTACAACATCCGCTTTACTGTTAAAACAATCCTAATTCATCTCCAGGACGCACAATAGACCTTTTTTTAAAGCTCCTGATTGCTTCAGCCCAATTGTACCGATTCCTGCCAGCGCTCAGCGGATCAGGAGTCAGGCAAGTACAATCAATATATTGATGCCCATGGAAGGCCCCAATCCCTCCATCTCAGTCCTGCCATCAGCAGGAAGAGGACGAAAGTTCGGCATAGTCGTTCCGGACCTGCTGTCGGATGTGGAGAGGGGGTTTTCCAACTATGGCGAGCATTCAATCACACTCGATGATGGTCGGTTATTGCCTGATGTGCATGTGATTTCCAGGGAGAACAGTCGTTAGATTCCTTGCTGCAAGCAGGACGTCGTGATCTTCTACCAAAACGCCGGTGGAATGAATTCTGATGTTAAGAGTACCTTCTTCTTTTTCGCATTTCAAGCTTATTGCTTATCGCATATTAGCTTATTGCGTGGTCTCAACTTAGTGTTCGAGATGCACTTCCACAGTTATTAATTGAGAGCTTTCGATGCCAGGTACCATTTTGCATTAGTATAATTGAGTGGCAAGTACATAGGCCTATTCTGCGCGGCGTGTGAGGTGAGGTGATAGTGAAGTGATGGTTAAGTGACAGTTGTCACCTCGGGTGAGGTGACTCTCTATTTGATTTGCACGAAGGGTCACCCCAGCCGGGGTGACAAATTGTCACTTCACTAGTAACAGCGAGTTACCTCACCTCACACGCCGCGCAGAATATGCCTGAATTATACTCTAAAGCCCAGGGAAGTCGAGAAATTTTCCAACCCGAAAAATTCCTAGACCGGACCGGGATTCGAACCCAGCCGTCTCCAGCATGGTCTTGCTTTGTAGCTGCGCGTGATTTCGACGATTATCCTGCTGTTGTTTCTTATGACTTCCGTAAAGCTTACCACCGTAGCATCATAGATGTATGGGAGAACATCCTTGATCCTGATTATGTTGAGGCTGCAGTGCAAACCTTTTCACAGGTCTTGGAATATGTCATCAACAGACACGTCCCGAAAAGATTCTCATCCTCCTTGGCAGACGAGAGTGCCACGTAGGTTGAAGTCAATCAAGAGAGCAGCATTGAGAAGATTTACGAAGTATCGCACGCTTCCTCTGAAACTTCATTATGTGAGGCGAGTCAGTCGTGAATGCTTTTCAAGTTTCCAACGAGGCATTCAGCGCAAACTACACCCGAAATCCTTTTGGAACTACGTGAACGAGCAACGCATCGTCTATGGAATCCAACTGCCACCGCTCAGGATATATGCCGCCTTTTTTCCGACAAATTTGTTAGTGTATTCACTAATGAGATACTAACTGACGATTATATTACCCTGGCTGCCAGCAACGTTCCAGTAAATGCAAACGCTGGGTGCAATTGATGCTAACGCTGAGATGATTTCCATGACTCTGCTCAAGTCATCGTTCAATCCTGGACCTGATGGAGTTCCATCTGTATTTTTGAAGAAACATATTACTAGCTTGGTAATTCCGCTTCAGCATCTGTTCCGCATGTCTCTCTCCAGTGGCATATTTCCATCCTGCTGGAAATTTGCGCACATGTTTCCCGTCCACAAAAAGGGAAGGAAACGAGCTGTGGATAGCTAAATATCGAGGAATTACATCGTTAAGTGCCATTTTGAAGCTATTCGAGCTAGCGATTATGGAACCATTGCTGTCCCATTTCAAGCAGTATTTAAGTGCTGATCAACATGGGTTTACTGTCGGCTGCTCTACAACCATCAATCTGCTGTGTCTAATATCGTATATTAGCATGTCGGATCGGGTTCAAATGGACGTAATTATTTCAGACCTATCCGCAGCATTCGACAAGTTGAACCATGCTATTGCGATTGCTAAACTCGACAGGCTCGGTGTAAGCGGTAATCTTCTGAGTTGGTTTCGATCGTATCTTACTGGTCGACAACTAATAATTGCCATAGGAGATTGTAGTTCAACTAGCTTCTTCGCCACATCAGGTATACCGCAGGGAAGTTATCTGGGACCGTCAATTTTTCTACTGTATTTCAACGACGTGCATCTGGTCATCGAAGCTTCGAAGTTTTATTTTTCATCGACAGGAGTAACTGACTATAAGATCTATGTTTTTTTGTGTTATAACAAGAGAGTTATGACCATTTTTTTCCGTCGATTTTGTTTTCCGTGTTGAGCACCAATGCTACCGACGCCAGGGAGGCAGCTCCCACACCTGGACTCTACATATCGACCCATCAACTCATGAACCGGGAACCAACGGCTTTACTTCACTTCCGAAGGAAGGCGTGATCAGAGATGTTATGCCTCAGAACATCCCGAAGGCGCCGACTGGGATTGAACCCAGGCCTGCTGGGGTGAGAAGCAATCACGCTTACCACTACACCACCGGCGCCACTAGAGCTATGACCATGCTTGAATGTATTTTTTTCTTACTATAGTTGATAAAGTTAACAGTATTGGGGCTTCATCCAGCCTGTTGATGTACTTATCTTACCAATCAGGCTAAGGCAATGTTGTCCTCTGCTGTCCGAAGAAGTCGTCTCCACTTTACTCGATCTATGGCCACACTTCGCCAGCCTTGTAGTCTGCGAAGGGTCCACAGGTCGCCTTCTAATTGGTCGATCCACCTTGCCCGCTGCGCGCCTCTTGTTCCTGTTGGGTCGCTTTCTAGAACCATTTTCACTGGGTCGTCGTGCGGCATTCTTACGACGTGCCCAGCCCACCGTAGTCACCCAATTTTTGCCATGTGGACGATGGATGGTTCTCCCAGCAGCTGGTGCAATTCGTGGTACATTCACCTCCTCCACGTTCCGTCATCCATCTACACTCCACGCAACACCTTCCGTTCGAAAACACCAAGGGCGCGTTGGTCCTTCACGAGCATAGTCCAGTTCTCGTGGCCGTAGAGGACCACCGGTCTAATCAGCGTCTTGTAAACAGTCAACTTCGTGCTTCGGCGAATTTTATTCGACCGGAGCGTTCTCCGGAGTCCAAAGTAGGCACGATTCCCTGCCATAATGCGTCTTTGAACTTCTCTGCTGGTATCATTTTCGGCGGTCACCAGTGAGCCCAAATAGACGAACTCATCGACCACCTCGATTTCGTCACGGTCAATCTGAACTCGGAGTGGGAGGCTAACATTGTCTTCCCTAGAACCGCTTCCTTTCATGTATTTTGTCTTTGATGCGTTGATGGCAAGCTGAGCCTGTTGATGTAAAACAACAATAAAAACTCACTCGACTGTCTGTTCCAAAAGTCTTGGGGTCTCCTCGGGGATCTCATTTCGCAAGTTGAACCGACACTTTTTCATACAAGCGTTAATACAAAACAAAAATCCTTCGTTTCGAATTGCGCAATTAGGTCCCTGTTTCTGTCGAAATTTGCAATCGAAACGAAAAAGACGCCTTCATTTCGCTGTAGCTAGGATTTTGTACTGCTGTCAGCTCTCGACCCACCAGGAAATTGGCTCCATAGCAGGCATTGTATTAATTATTTTAAATCGACTTTTGTAGAATATATCAGTTAACAACTTCCTAGCAAGGATGTCGTTTTTAAAAATTAAAACTAAGATGTGAATCGGTTGAAGACCAAAACTAGAACTCTTTATTCCCCTATCAAAACAGTTTTATATTAAGAGCTATTGCATCATAATTTCGCAATGTTCCATAATGAAAGCAACCTCGATGTTCTCGATGTTTCCACGATGCGCTTCTGTGACTTCGATGTGCTTTTGTCGGCTCTGCAGATTATGATTGTTTATGCAAACATTTCCTGTTGATGCTTGGATGGTTGAAGTTGCGTCGTTCGCTGATCGTTGATTCGTGTTGTTTCAAGTTCAATGTTGATCGTGTGATCTGGATAGTGCGTATTAATGATGGTTTATGTTTGGTGATACAGGATCAGTCAAGTTCGCTGCTGCTTTTTTAAGTTCAATGTTGCGGGTGCGATCTGGACGATGCGTATTGATGATGATTCATACTTTCTTAAGAGGTATGAGCTGTTTGATGATTCTTATTTCCTTAGGAGGAGGATGTTGATACTTTGAGAGTTGGAAACGTGACCAACAATGGCAATTTATGGGAAGATACTGATGATGAGTCACCCTTTGTATAGGATGATGTTGATAACTTATCGACAGTGAGTATGCATAAGGGCGTAAACGCGATGATCAATTCTCTTCGTCATTTTTTTTCTTTTATTAATAACTCGCTAGATTTAACGTTTCTCGGTGAGTTTGATGATGCTTTTGATAGCCAATGCAACCTTTTACAACTCTGCATTGAACAAATTCTAGAAAATTGTTTCGCTTAGGTGCAGCAATGCAAAGGGAAAATCGATGAAGAGAATCGATCATCGCGTATACGCCCTTATGCATGCTCATTGTCGATATATTCAACTCAGTTGTCCCAC